CACTGAGAATCTCTTTGAAACCAAGTTCCTCACTTTCAACCAGTTCTGTGGCCCATACATACTACCAAGACCCCAGTTTATCAATACATCATCTAAAGGAAAATTAAGCAGTGAGTCCATGCTGGATAAATGCACTATCACCTAAAAAATCCATTCAAAACTGACTTTCAAACCTTTCTGATGCCAAAATGAAGTGATGGGGAATAGAGTGGAACTTCTATTGAAAGTGAAGAGGGATATCAGTCTTGAGGAAAATACTGCATATCACTCTATGCAAATCTTCAGACATTTTTCCTTTAAAAATATAAACCTGTGGTCATTTTCACAGCACATACAAAGACACACACAAATTCTTATTTTAAAAAGTTCGTCCAATCATAAAAATTTACTAAACCATTAAAAGACATTCCAGTTATTCCTTAGAAGAAGCCGATATATGTGTCAATGAAAATAATCGTTAAGTTTAAAGTTTGCCAAAATGAAATTAGTGACTATGTTTCAGTTCAAGTGAAAGATTTCAAAAGTTATCTCTTTATAATAAAATGTTTCGGACCAGAACCATTATCTTGGAATAGAAATCAATTGTGAAGAGTGATACCATGTGCCTTAGTATTTATAAAAATGCCAGTATACTTAACCTACTAATCTAAGCAATTTCCATAGCCACTGGCATCACTTGAAGGCATCACTGCCTTCAAAAAAATTCAATAATGATTTATTGAGAGGTAAGGCATACATGCAATTTAAATGACTGGATTCTCAATCACAAAATATAAAAAATAGTTCTGTACGCCAGCTCTCTATCAATCTTTTTGATGACACAGGTGAGACAAATTTTAGACTGGAGATTCAAAGTCTGAATTTTGAGAAATGGCAATTTTTTAACTGGTTTCACGAGGTAAGACGATTTAGGTTCCTTATTGAGTAATAATCAGAGTGATTTGCCTCCAGGGTGTAAATGATGGTCCTTTGGATCCAGATTATTTTCCAAAGCACCTCACTATGACTTTGTTCTTCCATTTTCTTTCTCGCTTAGTAATTAAAGCATGATGAGTTCAGATAGAAAGTCCTTACTGTTCTCAAAGGTTCTGTTTTACTATTTTCCCTGTGTATCTTTATTACAATGTTATGATTATTAAGGCTCACCATTTGCCCCCTTGGAAACCTTGATCAGGTCATCCTAACTCTAGAAACATTCACTTCAATTGAACAGATTTTTGTGCGGTAACGTTAGAATAGGAAACCTGCGAAGGATATAAGGAATGAGTCAGCATAAATGGCTTATGCGTAGGTAGAGTAGGTACTTGCCTACCATGGGTGTTTTGAAGGACTTAGGGGAAATTCCTCAAACTATTACCTAATATTTCCACTATCAGTATTTGTGTGGATGTTAGGTGTTGAAAAGCCGTGATCAAAAGAGAACATCCTAAAAACAAGGAAGGATTTTTTTATATTTAATTTCTTTATCTGTATATATTTAACATTAGGTGCAGTCCCCACAGAATTTCCACCACCAATTCACCACTGTAACATCAAGTTAGTCCCTTGTGCTCTTCCTGCCTTCCGTTTGTATACTCTCCCTCCTCCCTTCCCCTGCAGTATGTCTCTGATTTATAGTTGTCTGATTATTTCTGTTTAGTTTTGTTGCATTGAAAATAATAATAATTATCATTATTTTCCCTGATTCCCTTATTTGGTTCCCCTATATTCCTCCTATAAGTGAAACCTTCCGACATTTTCTTGTTTCTTTCTGACTTACTTCACTGAGCATAATCCATTCTAACTCTATCCATGTTGCCACAAATGGTATTAGATTATCGTTTTTTGATTGCTGAATAGTGTTGCATTATGTATATATACCACATCTTCTTGATACAGTCATCTATTTTGGGGCATTTGGGTTGTTTCCATGTCTTGCCTATTGTAAGTAGTGCTGCAGTATACATAGGGGTGAAGGTATCCTTTTTAATTAGTGCTTTTGTGTCCTTTGGATAGATTCCTCAGAGTAGAATTCTTGGGTGATATAGAAACTCCATATTTTAGTAGACTCAGGAACCATCACACAGCTCTCCATAGTGGTTATACTAGTTTGCATTCCCACCAGCAGTGCAGGAGAGTTCCTTTGTTCCCACATCCTCTCCAACATTTGTTGTTGCTAGTTTTTTTTTAATTTTGTGCCATTCTCACTGGTGTAAGGTGGTATCTTCTTGTGGTTTTGCTTTGCATTTCCCTGATTATGAGGGATGTTGAACATTGGAAAGGAAATTTTAACACCATTTATTAACATTTCCTGGCCATAATGAGGGGAGGTGCCAAAAATAAAGAGGAGAAAATATGTTGGAAATATCAAGGAAGGTATGAATATAAATTAATATGTTTTATCTACATATTATAAGCAGAACATGCACTTCCACTGCATTGGTAACTAGCAAAGGTATCTTTCCAAGCATCAAGTAGTAAAATCAGAGTATGTATTCTGTGCGATGTATTTCCCATGGGTTTTTGAAACTCAAATGCACTATTTTGGTTTGATTCACTAGGTTTATTTGTTAAAATATTTCTCACATTTAAGACAGGTGACTAAAGGAAAGAAGTATCATTTATTACTAGATATCTTGGTTCTACTGAGAGAGAGAGAAGAGAACCACAGTCTGTGTACCCCTCTCGATGAGTTAAAGTCTCAGGGGCACCTACAAATATTGTGTGATGTTGGTGAGTTCTTCTTTTGTGTCAGAAATTGAGCATATGGACTGCAAGAAATAAGATTTAGAGAGTTTATTTACTGATAGAGATGCAGGAAGCTCCCCATAGAGACAGGAAGTGAGCACCAGAATTGGTACCCTGGAAAAACACACATGTCTATAGTCTTTTATACTAAATAGAGCTTGTGAAGAGGCCTCTATCTGCTGAATACATGGGTGGAGAGGTAGCTTGTTAAACATTAACACACAGGCAGCTAGAAGTGCAGGAGGCTTGCTAGAGATTAACACAGCCCAAACACAAGGTTTTCATTCCTCTCCTTTCCTCCCTGCTCCTCTTCTTATTAGCTATTTTCTGGCTGTCTCCTCCTACAGGCAGGTCCACTGCTCTCAGACAGAGGTCCTATAAATTTGCATTAATCTATAATTTTTTTTCCACTAAAATTCTCCGTGGGCCTCCACCTTGCTTACCTAGCCAGAATTAGTCTCAATTTCCTGCCTTTTAGCAAGAAAATGCCCATAAGAGATACTAATTCAAGTGTTTCATTTGATTAACACCGTAAATTTAACAAATGAACTAGATTTCTGTTTATTAGCTGTGTCTTTGAGTTAAGATCATACAATAGATAAAAAAATAAACTTTCTTTTATTTAGAGATTTATTTATTGATGAATAAAAGAGCTGGGATGTGGTCCATAGGTGCAGGGGAAGTGAAAGGATCCACCAGAGACAGAGTGGGGAGCAGAACAGGCAGATCTACTGAAATACACTGCTGAGGGGAGACAGGAAAGGTCTGCTGTGCCACTTGCTGCAGTGGCTGCCAATAGCTCTGTGGTGCTGAGATTTAACCCCTTGTACCACCAGGGAGGCCCCCTGGTTTCTTATT